CCTCCCCAGTAGCACACCTCCCTGTCGGTGCACCTCCCCAGCAACGCACCTCCCCAGCAGCGCACCTCCCTGTCGGTGCACCTCCACAGCAGAGCACCTCCCCAGCAGAGCACCTCCCCAGCAGCACACCTCCCCAGCAGCACACCTCCCCGTCAATGCACCTCCCCAGCAGCACACCTCCCTGTTGGTGCACCTCCCCAGCAGCGCACATGCACACCACTTCTGGTGCACACCACTGCTGGTGCCTGTGACAATCTCCCCACCCCGTCCACCATCCGGAAGTCCAGGGCATCAAGGAGGACAGGCTTGTTTCTTAGGGCCACATGGCCTTGGGGGCACCAGACCGGGAAGTGCCCCGGCTCACATGGTCACTCCTAGCTCTGCTGCACTCCGTGTCCAGGCGCAGTGACTAGGCACAGGTCCTCATAGACCTGCCCTCCCAGGTCACTGCATCTGATGAACCCTGTTCTGCCTCACCAAACTGTGCCCCGGCCTGGGACAGCTTAAGGAGGGTGGGTTTCCCAGGGCCCTCTCGGGGTGCTGCTCTGGTGCTTCCTGCTGGCTGACTACGGTGGGCACAAGTAGCCACATTACATCCAGAAGGTCCATGCTCGCGGGTCCTGGGCGACGCACACACCTCCCCCCTCACAGGTCCCAGGCGACGCGCACACGTCCACGCTCGCGGGTCCCAGGCAAGATGCACACGTCCACGCTCGCGGGTCCCGGGCAACACGCACATGTCCATGCTCGCAGGCCCCAGGCGACACATACACGTCCATGCTTGCAAAGCTTCTTCCAGGTCCATGTCCCCACAGTCAGCCCCTGTGATAACTGAGCGAGTACCGGGGTGCAGAGGAGTGGCAGCACTTTGTGCAGGAAGGGACGGTGCAGGCGGGTGGAAGACACTGCCCAGGAAAGCAGGCAGGGTCAAGAGGAGCCCAGCCACGGGCCAGCTATGTGGCCCCTGCAGCTCAGTCCCCCCTTTGTGGCTCATCGGTGGTCGCAGGAAGCTGAATATGGTAATCTCAAGGATGCTCAGACCTGGGAATGTTTCCGGACTGGATCATGGAGGGATCTGGAAGGATGACTGGTCCCGCCTCCCCTGTCAGACTAGCACGTGTCTGTACCCCGAGGACGGGCGGCCACACGGGCCCGTGTCCGTGCACCTGTCTAAACCTTCCGGCTTCTGACTGCTAGCAACAGAGTACCTGCCCCTGGAGTTCTGGATGCCAAAGAACCAAGGATGTGGGCACTTGATGGCCTCCTCGCTCTCAATTTTCAGAGGAACCACGTGAGAGAAAGCAAACACGGCTGAGAACAGGGACACTCTGAACCAGCAACGGTGACCTCAGCTTGTCCACAGGTCGCCACACTGGGAGCAGGCCTGGTGCCAGAGGCCTTGCTGAGGGACACGCAGCCCAGCCCCGGCTTCTGGGAAAACTGCTTCTTTGGGGTTTTCAGGAAAGACTTGACGCATTTCAGAGGAACCACGTGAGAGAAAGCAAACACGGCTGAGAACAGGGACACTCTGAACCAGCAACGGTGACCTCAGCTTGTCCACAGGTCGCCACACTGGGAGCAGGCCTGGTGCCAGAGGCCTTGCTGAGGGACACGCAGCCCAGCCCCGGCTTCTGGGAAAACTGCTTCTTTGGGGTTTTCAGGAAAGACTTGACGCATTTTTGCATAGGAAAATACATCGTGACTTTCCTGGCGACCTAATATTTTTCTGGTTGTTTCCCCCATTTCCAGTCCTCAGATGCTCGCACAGCCACACAAGAGCAGCGAGGCGTCCTGAGCCTGGGAGGCGGGAAGTGCGGCCTACCTGCCACCTCCTTTTCAAAGAAGGGCCGGATGAGCTCGCTGAATTTTGACTCGTTCGCCACAGTCTCTTTCAGCAGTTGCCCACAGCAGACTGAGGGAGAGAGGAACAGAAAGACACCCATTAAATTTTAAATAGAGGGAAGAAGGAGAAGAAAAGAAACCCCAGTGCTGCCTGCTGGGGGAAAGAAAAAAGGTCACTGAAAAAAATATTAAAGGGTTTTCTGTGAGTAGGTGTGTGTCCAAGTAGCAATAAATATCAAAAAGGGACCGGGGAAAGAAAGAGGGGGAGGCTGGAGAATGAAAGGAATGCATTAGAAATGGACGGCACGGGGAGACGCTAACCAGGCACGAGGGCGAGGGCCGTGGCCGCAGAGGGGCTGCTGTGGGCCGTGGCCCTCGGAATGACTGACCGGAGCTGGACGCCCTCGGTCAGCACTCAGGGCCAGCATCCGGGAGGACAGCTCGACCCTGAACGCCTCTAGCATGTCACACTCCCAGCGTGGCCACACAGGGCAGGGAGGGAGGCCTGTTGCTCCCACGGTCCTTCCAGTGGGCACAGCATCTCCGTGTACTCAGTTTACGAGCCCATGGCCCCAGGTGGACGAGCTCAGGGTTGGAGGGCGCCATGTGATAATCACCTGGCTAGCTGCCACTGTGCACTCCTGGTGTGAGCAGACCGGGAGCAGGAGCCTTCCTGCCATGAGCCCACGGCGTGCCTGGGTCTGAGTCATAGCTGACGCTGGCCACCAGGTGCTGAGGGGATAAATGCAGGCCACCGTGGCCTTGGCTATGGGAGCCCTGAGCTGTCACAGCGGGAGCTGTATTCTCATCAGGCGTTCCC